TCGAGGTCCTGGACCTCAGCGGCACGTCCCTGGAGCAGGGTGAGTCCGGGCCGCGCCGGGAGTTGGGAGCCGGGCTGGGCATGCCCTCCGGGGCAAGGCCGTGAACTTCCTCTAGGGGTGGCTACCGGGCGCCCTGTGCCGGGGTGGGCCAGGACGGCTGGAAACTAACCCCACCTCGACTTCCAAAGCCCAGCGGGCCCTGTTCGAAGGGCCACAGTGGGGTCAACTTCCGGAGGCCCAGGAGGTGGGAATTATTATTATCTATCATAGGGAGTTAACTCCTGGAAGCCCAAGAGGTGGGGACTGTTATTATCTATCTCTGCTTCACAAAGGGGGGGAAGGGCATGGACGGGAAGGCGACCACTGGCCTGTGGTCTCACAGCTCGTGCTAACCCAAAGCAACAGATGTCCTGAGGGTGAATTCATTGGTCTTCCTACTTGGTTGACTCGAATTGTTCTGTGAATTCTGTGAACGTTGGGTCTTTCAAACAAGACACAGGAGGGAGGTGAGAATACCAGCTCCCCTGTACTTGGCCATGTTCTGACTCTAATTCACAAGGTTGGTTTTATTTTTTAAAAAAAACACTTCATGTGTCTGTAATCACCTGTTCCACCACAGGCAGAAAAAAGAGCGAGAATGGGAAGCAGGGGAAGTGTGAAGTATGGTCTCCATTTGTTAAGAGAGCCCCGAAGCTAGGTTCTGGGCCCTCCTCCAGCCTTGCTCCTCCTCTCCTACTTCCTCACCTCTCTCAAAAATGTCTCCAGTCCTTGTAGCCATCAGAGTGAACAAGAGGGTGTTTAACAAGAGGGTGGGGCAGCAGAGGCCTTGGAGACAGTGTCCTGGGTTCAAGTCCTGGTTCTGCTCCCACCCAGCTGTGTGGCCCTGGGCCTGTCATTCTCCTCTCTGACCTTGGCTGCCCCGGGGTGGGCAGGCAGGCAGGAAGGACAGACAGGCGGTCTCTGAGGGCTCTTCCAGCTGAAATGGCTATGCTTCTAGATTCCCAAAGCTGTTAACTGTGCCCGTGCTCAGCAATGATCTTCATGACTCACTTTGTCCCTCTTTGTTTCCTTAATGCTGGGCTAGCCTCTTGATGTCTTCCTGGGTAGTGGGCAGTTCCCCCTCTGTGTTTCAGTTCAGTCCGGGTGGATCAGAGACCTGAGAAAGCTCAGGTCTCTCCACCTGAGGAAGATGCCCAGGCTGAGAACCCTGGAGGGGGACATTTTCAAGATGACCCCTGACTTGCAGCAGCTGGATTGTCAAGACTCTTCAGCACTTACCTTTGTCCACACACACATCTTCGAAGACACTCCTCGCCTACAGGTCCTTCTATTCCAGAAGTAAGTGTTTCTTTCTTTCTTTTTTTTAATGTTTATTTTTGAGAAAGAGAGACAGACAGAGAGCAAGCAAGGGAGGGGCGGGGGGACAGAAGATCCAAAGCAGGCTCTGTGCTGACGGCAGAGGGCCTGATGCGGGGCTTGAACTTGCAAACCATGAGATCATGCCTGGAGCCGAAGTCGGACGCTTAATGAACTGAGCCACCCAGGCGCCCCGAAGTAAGTGTTCCTAAGACCCATCTGAATCACATAACTGATTTCTGCCACTGCGCTAAGTTGAACACGTGTAACCATTCTATAGAACTAACCAGACCTTGATTCTTCTCCCTCTGCTCCTTCCCATCCTCTCGGGGCTTCTGTTCTTCCTCATCCTTTGGGTGATATCGTGGTCAGGTACCAGATAGTGCATCGGCCTAATAACCATGGAACTCAGTCTTCTCCAGAGTAATACTAAAACTCCAAAGTCTCATGTATGTAAACTTCCCTTTAAGCCCAGGATGAAAAACTTGTAGCGGAAACAGGGGATGAGGCATCAGGTTCTTTTCTATCTATGGATCCACCTGCTTCCCCAGGTGTTTATTTCAGCCTTCCAAGGTTTGAACGGGCCAAGGAGGAAAGGTGAAAGGCTAGAAGGGTCCTTCTTGCAGTTGGGACCCCAGGTCAGTGCTTTCAGGCCTACTTATCTGAAGTATCACTACATTCACCCTCCTTCTCAACAGGAAGGTGACTTCAACAGGAAGGGCAGTGTCACTTTGAAGATGACCCCAGGCTGCCTGCTTTCCTGAGGGCCCACATCTGGGCCCTGGGAAGCTGGCACCTTTGCCCTATCATCACTTTCAATGTAGCCACATCTCTCCTTTCTCTGCTAGCCCCAGCCACAGCTGGACTATTCACTCTGGGGCTTGTCATGACAGCAAAACAAATAGAACAGGCACACAGAGCTCTTAGGTCAGCGCCTGGCACAGGGCCCATGCTGTAACATTCGTGAAGATGATGGTGGCTGTGAAGAAGGTGATGGGAAGGATGGCAGTAACAGTGATGGTGGTGATGGTGATGATGTGGGTAATGATCGTGAATCGGTGATAGTGGATGGTAATTGTGATGATGATGGTGGTGGTGATGGTGGTGAGTGTAATGTCCTCTCTGGCTCAGACTCCTCTTCTGAGCTTCAGACTTGTGTCTAAGGTATGAGGTGTGGAGCCAAACTGCCCTGGCTCAAATCCTGACTCCATCCACTTTCACATACCCTGTCTCTTCCTATCCCCAGTTAAGAACACTGGCAGTTCAGCCAAGAGATTCTTCTTGGCTGAAGAAGCCAAGGGATCTGTCTAAATCATAATCTGATGGAGTCTCCTACCAAATGAAAACACTGCAGTGCTTTATGAAGGACAGGATTTAATTCCTTCTGGCTCATCCTAGGCCCCCTACTGCACCACCTGTGCTCCAACTGGGGGTGGGGAGGAGCCACTTGCTTTCTGGGTGCTCTCAAGCTTCAGAAGCTCATTAAATGCTATCTGACCTACTGGACCCTCTCTCCCTCTTTTCAGCCTGGCCTGCTCTTGGCTCTCCTTAGCTCACCCACAACCTCCCCCAGGAGGCTGTGATAAATCCTGAGTGATGTGTGGCTGCCCTGACATAGGGAGCACCCACTAGAGAGGGGATGGGCACCTTCCTGGCTGCTCTGCCAACCCAGCATGCCCAAAGCCCTCCACAGTCCCCTCTGACATGCAGGAGGGAGGGGCGGTATTTCAGCAAAGAGTGAAAAGAGAGAGCAAATGGAAACTTCTTTCACACTAGGGCTCTGTCAGTTCAGATGTAGAGACATACAGGCATGCACCAGGATGTGAGCCATCCCTCAGCATGTGGGTGGTAATTCAACTTGATTTTATCAAGTGCAAGTCACATTGGTGGCAGATATGACCACCAGAGAAGGAAAGGACACATTTTCCTTATCTGTAAAATGAGCAAAATATTATTACCTCACTGAACTGTCCTAATGATGTCAACATGAGATAATGGATGTAAAGCACTGGGCAATGTTACCTGCTCAAAAATACGATAATCCTTTCCTCTCTCCCTTCAGGCAAAAAGAGCAGGGGCGCCTGGGTGGCGCAGTCGGTTAAGCGTCCGACTTCAGCCAGGTCACCATCTCGCGGTCCGTGAGTTCGAGCCCCGCGTCGGGCTCTGGGCTGATGGCTCAGAGCCTGGAGCCTGTTTCCGATTCTGTGTCTCCCTCTCTCTCTGCCCCTCCCCCGTTCATGCTCTGTCTCTCTCTGTCCCAGGAATGAATAAACGTTGGAAAAAAAAAAAATTTTTTTTAAAAAAAAGAGCAATATTTCCTTCGTGTGCTGAAGTGCTAAGTAAACTCTCATTCTAAGATTTCTACTCTAGCTCTGTGAAATCTCCTAAGACAAGCACATGTATGTATATACTCACATGTGTGCATATATATGTATATACCCATATGTGTGCGTTGAATTTCAATATAAATAGCACACACATTATGTCTGGTGTCCCACGGGAACAGCTGCCAGGTCCCCACCACCCCGGAGTGTTAGAGCAGACCTGGGGAGTGGGTCCTTCCTCCTCTAGTACATGAGTAGCCCCCTCAGAGCAGTTGGGGAAGGCACATGGTTCCCAGGCAGATGGAGGAAAGCCAGCCTTTGGTCAGAAGAAACCTGAAGGGAAAGTGCAGCTCCTGTTGCTCTAGATAAATTGTGACTGGGTATATGTAAAGGAGGCTAAGGGGCTTGGGGAGTTGAAAACATTGAGGCCAAACGCTCTGTAAGACCCTAGGGAAGAAAGAACTGAGTGTTGGGAGGGGCCCTGCCATTGCTGGGTGTTCTAAACCCTTTGCAAAACGGCCCCAATAAGTCCTCCCATCCTTGTAGACACACCCCTTCTCAATGTGACTTTGCAGCTCCCCCTGTCAAGAAGTGGAGTCTATTCTCCACCTCTAGAAGCTTGGCTTGGCCATGTGACCGGCTTAGGCAAGTGTGGCATTAGCAAAAGTGATGTGAGGTGAGACTTAAAAGCAGTTGAGGAGGATTGGAGCTTTCCCCTCTTCGATGATGGGGACCCCTCCACCACCATATGCACTAGCCTGGAGCTAGCCTCCTGAATGATGAAGGGCGCATGAAGAGGGGCCCCAGCCTAGTGGAGGCTCCATGTATGTGAGGCCATCTTAGATCTTCCAGCCCTAGCTGAACTTGCCCAGACCACAAGAACCACAGAAGCATAAGAATAAATATTTGTTGTTTTAAGCTACTAAGTTTTGGGGAAATTCTGTACTCACAAGAGCTTCACTGATACACTTCAGTGAGGCGTGTTCCAAAGGACTGGTGTTGAGTGTCATCAGCTACAGTTCAACTGCAAGAGTATATATTCAAGAGTGTTCTCATTAATAAACAGTTTCTGTCACTTCTTGTGACTGGGTCTGGAATAACAATACCTTACTTTTGTGTGGAGATTTACACTTACAAACATTTTTGTTATCACAGACTCTTTTTTGATACAACAGTGGGCAAGAGAGTATTGTCTTCATTTGATATGAGGGGTGACAGCAACTGAATTGGGTTGGTATCTCCACTTTACAGATGACTAAAAATGAAGTCTAAGGTCATTAAGAGTTTTATCCAAGGTAGTATCACCTAAGCCCTAACAGGATGGTTTTGCCATGACACCACCATGGCTCTCTGGGGATAGTCTTGACTTGATTTTTAAAGCCTGACTTGGGGTGCCTCTTTT